CGAGTCAAATAGTTGTGCGGACTGAATCTATTATCCAACAAATTAAATTAAAAGTTGTTCCCCTTTGTTGACATTTTAAGGTCATTAGGTAATTTAATGATGAATCTGACATCCCATTCCATTGTTTTTTTAGTTTCTTGTTTCTCTTTTGTTTTACACATCATGTACTTTCCCGGCTAAATTGATATAGATATAGCACTTGAAACAAAAGTTATTTCTCTTGACATACAAAATATCTATGTCAAGAAGGGTGAATTTGCAAGACTGTTTTATTTTAAAACAATTCAAGTCTTGTAGAATTTTTAGCAACGATGATTTTGTTTCAGCGTCATTATAATATATATTCTAGTACTTTAGTAGCACGACTTTGATAACATTGATAATGATGTAAGTAAGGTCATTAGGAATTTGGTATTTGAGAAATTTAAAGTTTGATAGACATACTGCAAATAATCATACTGTTTAATGACAGAATGAATATCACTTTAGATACTTGAACACTGTCAGTTTTTTGCTGTAGTATTGTCCAACATAGACATAATTGTTCTCGTAATTCACACACACACTACGGGGATACCTCACTCCTTGTTGTTGTGTCAGTAATAGAGACAGGAACTGACCTTCCTGATCAAGGAGGTGAACAGATTTACTTTCGGTATCACAAATCAGGATGTGACCGAGGACATCAGTACAGATTCCATAGGGATAGAACTCTGACTTCTGACCCGTGTAGGAGAATCTGTGTTGTCCCGATTTATTCACCACCACTACTCCATTATAGTAGTCCGATGTACAGATATCTCCATTGATGTTTTCTGTGATGTAGTATGGTGAAATGTACAGAAAATGTCCTTTGTTATCCCTCTGTATGTTCTGTAGTTCTGTTCCTGTCGTGTTGTACCTGGCGACTTTACCCGCAATCCCCACCAGTATTTGTTGATGCGAGAGGAGTGTATACTGAGTGGTTCCCAATTTCCAGTTTTAATGATTTCAGTGATATTATTGTCCTGTTTTATCCTATTGATGACTTTCAATTTTCTATCTGTAAATATCAGATCCCCGTCCTTAATCACTGTGTGATAACCTTGCACTCCACCACTGGTTTTTATTTTCTGAATCTCATTTCCCTGTAAATCAATTTGAATAAGATTACCCTTATTGTCACTGATCCAGAGTCTGTCTGATTGAGCTGGTGATACATGGTATACAAGATCAACACCTGGTACATTGAACTTCCTGACCTTGGTGACAGAGGCAGATAGAGACAATGTTTGTTTTTTGTCAGATTTCTGTCTGTCTTCTTTCAACTGTTTATGTGTAGATTTCATTGATGTATTGTGGACACTTTTAATGGGCCTTATTTCTCTCTTTTCATCCTTAATGTTGGGTATAAGTATTTTACCAAGTAATTAAGTGATATCATCTTTGCTGTATTTACCAGCAGTAAATCTTGATGTGACTGGTTTTGTTGTCTCTGGTATGGAGAGGATCTTTGGCTTCTCATATTTTAATTTCGGTGGTTCTGTAGAAGATAGACATCTGTGGAGCTCTTTGACAAGGTTATTAAGATAAGCGATGTAGTCATTCATGGTCTTGTCTTGGGTGTTTAGATTTTCGAAAAGAGATTGCTCTATCTGGTCTAGCTGCTTCATGTTCTCAGACATGACTGTGTCCACCAGATTTTTCAAGGAGTCACCTTCAGTTTTCATGGATGTTCTGATATTGTCCATGATGTGTTTAATTTCAACTGCATCTTCCTTAATTTCCTTCAGAAATCGTATGATATAAGGAAAAAATACAGGAAGTTGTCGTTTACGAAGCTGGTAAAGAACCAGCTCATGCATATGGTTCTTGTTCTCTGGATTTTCAGATGTTCATCTCTGCATTGTTTACAGAATCTTTGATGACAAGGATTGCAGTAGAACTCACAGTTACTTTGACATTCTTCAGTGCCACACTCTAAAAAGTGTTGGTCTCTGGGAGGAAAACCAGTTTTAGATAAAGCCATCTGAAAATAACAAAGTTTAAATATACTCAATTGGACAAAAGTGGGCATACCCCGGTACTAGGCATCTCAACAAAATGTAACTTGCAAAGTATTGTAAAATAGATTGATTAGTATTAAAAAGTGTAAGAAGTTTAATTGCCAAACATCTAGTAGCAAACATGTCTGATTGGCCACTTAAATGAATACACGTAATATAAAGTATTGATTTGTAAAAAAAAAAAAAGCTAGATTTAACAGTCTATGAATGTTTCCCATTCCATAAGTAACTGGACATGCAATTATTACTTTTTTAAATTAATTTGTATATTAAGTTTTATTTAAATTAATTTATTGTACATGAATGGTAAAAAGAGAAAAAAAAGGCACCAACATATGTTATTAAATACTTACAATAACTATAATGACATATAAACATGCCCTTGTCAAACAGCCTTTAGATCGTCAGAGAGAGAGAGAGAGAGGCGTAACAGTAAATAGTTTTAAAATTCGGCTTGTTATTTACTTTCTGGTTAGAGATATCAGTATCAGAGGTGTATCAGAATAAATAAATATTGACACACTGAATACCTGTCACTTTGATGGCCCTTGACTGTCTTGACTTGGACCACCCTGGTTAATATCACGTATAAAATGGATTTTTTGTACATATATATGAAAGTCAAAAAAATTGATTTTATTTTATTAAAGAAATGTTTTTTTTATTTTTGTTATTGTTATTTTGTTATTACTGGAATTAATGGAAGCAGCTGTTGCAGAAAAAATACATAACCCGCGTCAGTAATAACAAAGAAAGAAAGAAATTTTATTGTTTATATTTATATTTTTTTAAATAATCATTTTACGTAGGGTTAAAAAAATTAATTATTGAACTAATGATGCGAACGTCTTTATACGTTCCACTGATGGAACAGCCACCGATCAAGAAATCTGTACAGGTGACATGCCTGATGTAGTTCATGCAGTGATTAACGCAATGGGTTTTCTTAAGAAATAAAGGGAAAAAATATTCAGTGGATGTAAATATTATGAGAATTGATGTCCAAGGTATAAAATCAGGAATGGGGTAATTGAAAAAAGTAATTGTAATTGACCGTAATTATTACATTTTTAAAAGTAATTGGAAGTAATTTGTAATTCAGCATTTTTTCAATTACTTGTAATTGTAATTTAATTAATTACACTGAAAAAATACCATTTAATTTCAATTACTTTTTCAATTACATTCAATTACTTTATACAGTGCAAATTCATGATACATGTACATTGTCACCACTACCTCCCAATTTTACTGTCTTTTATTTAATTGTAAAACATATCCTCAGTCCTCCAATTATAAAAATTTTAAGACAATGTTTACAAGCAACTAAATGATTGATTTGATAATAATTATCTAGTGTCTTTCTAATAAGTATATAATTTTTTTTGGTATAGGTTTATCTAAATTTTGCACAAGCCTTCGTGGGTCTATTCCTTATGAAACACACATTTATTATATTTCAATTTTTCTTGTTTGATCAATAATAAAGCAAAATAATGTATGTGTCATAATTAAGTTAATTCCCTCTCGTGAAGAAATAATTACCCTCCAAATCACAGCCATAAATTGCAATCAAAACAAGTCAACTCCTCTAAGGAGGTATTCATTCCATGATTCAGAAAACAAAGCCAATGGAGATAATTATTTCAATCATAATGCTCTGCTAACTTAAGAAAAGAAAAACTTTTAATTTGATAATTATTTTAACATCTAAAAAGATTTTTATATAAATAAATTTTGTATCTGAGAAATTTATGTTCTGTACAATCATCTATGAAGTAAAAATGTTCAACATAAATAACAATTTAATTAAAATGTTTAGGTTCAGAAATATTAAATTTGAGGGGTTACAGTTGTGCTTCATTTTACACTTTAAGATACCTCCTTTTAATAGAATATTATAAGCCATTAGGGATGCAATTTGTGTACATGTTAATATTGCGTGGAAGAAACTGCATAAGACTCGGATAGTTCTTCTTTTAAATTAAAGTTTTAATTCAAACCACAAAGAAGTGTACACAATGCGTACATCATATCATTTCTTGTATTGTTTGAGCAGAGGCTGAGCTTATATACAAATGAATGTAGTTCTGTATATTCATTGACAAGGATTGGAAAAAAATCAAAAAAATTAAAATGTAATTTGTAATTTAATTAATTACTTTTGCAAAGTAATTGTAATTTAATTAATTACATGTCTTAGAAAGCCTGTAATTTAATTGTAATTTAATTGAAGAAAAAGTTAAAGTAATTGTAATTTAATTAATTACTTTTTAAAGTAATTGACCCCATCCCTGGATAAAATCAGTCTAGAGAACATTGAATTTCAGTTAAATATAGTATGCCCTTCGAAATGTTCTTTCTGGAAAATGAAACGTATATTTTATTATTATTGTTGCTTTATTTTGAACAATCTGAAAATTCAAGGATATTAGACTAGGATATTAGACTAGATAACATGTTAAATTCGACATGCTCTGTTTCTATTTATAGAACACCATGAAGAAGTACCAGCCTGTCACGGCCAAACTGACCACTGTCCTGACCATGTTACCCCTCCACAAAAGCCAGACTGGAGTCCATGGTTGTTGTAATCAGCAGCTGCCATTTATATCTGGGCTTTAATTTATAGTGCGGAATGTTTGTTTAATAAAGTTGAAAATCTTAAGTTTTTTATTTGTCGATTTTGGTAAAATCTTACGATTTCAAATTGTCCAAAAGTTCCTTGGAATTTTTAAGTATCCATATCTGATTTACAAAATGTATATCACATTTTGAATGTATTGTTTCACAGATGAAAATAACGTTTAGGAAAAAAATAATAAAATATTATATCCTAAATAACTTCCTTATTTATAAAATTAACAAGTAGAGAACAATTACTGAAAAAAGTGATTTTTTTTTACTCTTCGATTTGGTAGATAAAAAAGTTTTAATGTCAGCTCAATACGTTAGCAGGATTATTACGGTAAAAAAGAGATGGTGCGGGGCAATCATAATTATTTCTAAGCTTTTTATTCCGTCATTGCAAAGTACCATAGGTTATTTATTTGAAATCAGGATGACAAAATGCTCTTATAATTTTCAATAGTATTAATAATAATAATTAATAATCAGCAAGATTTGTTGTTTCACTTCCATTTCGATACAGAATCTAGCAAAGCATTTTGAGCTCAATTTATTTACAGAACTTTTTTTTTGTCAGGAGAACAATGGTAAAATACAGCAACATGGATTAAAACACATTCTACGTTTCAGGTTACTGCGCTATATATAAACATAGGTAACCCGGATAATTATAACCAGGTGAAGGCTACCTCAGACACATTTAATTTGAACCGCAAGGGAAGGAAAAACTCATCTTATGTGGAACTATGAAAGGCTATATCTTTGGTCTAGTGGCAGAATGATGATTTTGTAAGGTAATTTTTACTTAATAAAGTATATTACTTATATATTATATTAAACTACATATCTAAATCTTCTACATTAATATTATTTCTACTTTCGTTTTATGTTCAATTAAGTTGGCCTTAAACTTACACGATTAAACGAGTGGAACATGTTTTCATTTTATAATTTTTTTGTACAACATGCCTCTAACATACAATTTACAAAATAAAAAAAAAAAACATCGAAGCCATTTTATATTTGGCCGAGACACCGGTGCTTGAGGATAGTATTAAACCCAACTTCACATCCACCTCTCGCTCCTTCCCATTGAATCTACCATCTGGCTTCAAAGATATATCTATATTTTACAATGTTTCAAAAAGATACAATCATTTGATACAATAATATAAATATAGGAAATGGTTTCTCACTTTTAGCTAAGTGACAACAGTATAATATTGTAGGGGCTTTTATTTATTTTCTTATAACAAGTTTCAATATTTTTCCAGGAGAAATGGAAATATATGTGGATTCCTGTCCCCAGAACATCACGGATGTTTTAGAGTCGTCCTCCAGGCTGGGATGTGGTCAGGATAAGTACGGGAACGATCAGTATCTCTGTATCCCTAACACAGACAAAACAGGACTCATAGAACTGTGTTACAATGGAACCATGGGATTAATAAAAAGAGGTGAGTAATAAGAAATTTAACCTAAAACACATTTCTATGGTTTAAGTTTCAAACGAAAACCAACGAAAATCGAAGCATCTTAGAAAGTATTCTTTGACATACACTAGAATATATTTTATTTCTTACGTGTATGCATAACAATATACTTGATTAGGCAACTGTTTGGAAACCGATGGAGAAAATCTTCACTGGAACAACTGCCTTGGATTTTTATCAGGTTGTCCTGAAAAGGAATATCGAAGCAATGAAATATACAAATGTAAGATATTTGAAATAAATCATAATTAATATAAAAATGTTCAAATTAAAATCGCCACACTATTGTTTGTATTGAGTTTTAATTATGAAATAGAATTTTTTCATTAAAGGATTCATTATCATTTAGATTCTGCATGTCAAAACATCAATTCACGGCACAATTGCTATCTAGCTGAATCATCATGTCCTAATATGTAAGTAAACAAGAATGTAATATTTTAAATTGTTTTTTTTTTATTAATCTACGTTTTCATTATATCTGGAAAAACCTAATTAACTTTGGATTTCTATATTACATTATACTTAACTTTCATTAATACCGTGGTTCCCTACAAAGAAGACTTAACTTGAAAGAAAGCTGACTCAGAGCAGTCCTAGAGATTGTTATCTGGATGTTCAATTGTAGCTTCAGTAGGAAGCGTTCATAAATTAAATAGAGGGATCTCACTTCTAACTGAGATGCGCACTCCTTTTTAGTATCTGCCTCTAATGTTTTTGAGGTCAATGTTTGCTCTGGTTCTATTTTATATTGTTTTATGGATTTTTGATCTTGATTACTGTTTGCTTTCTACATACATTTTATCCTCACAGAGAATATCAATTAACTTTTATACGTACAGATGAAATAGATGCTCAACCAACATGCAGATTTTGAGAAGAAAATTTGTACTGATAGATAGATTGATTCAATCTTGATTTTGTAACAATTTTGATTATTTTTTTAATCATAAAGAGAGGTCACCTCATCGCGGTGAAGGACTTTGAATCTAGACCTATACTAACAACTAGTGTAATTAGCTATTAATGATTCTTTACCGTGAAAATGCTTTCTGCGATAGAAGATCTCGATCATCAGAAAGACAGGTCACTTTCACTTCTATAGTTCTGGGCTGTGTCTTGTTGGTTCTGTGCTTTGAAATATTTCTATTTTTAAATATTTGGGACAAAATATTAGACAGGTTTCACTGTATTGAAATTAAATCTACACTACCTGACGGTGCTTTCTTGTCAATATGACTGAACTCAGCTATGTCGTTCATGAGAATATTTGAAATATGTTCCCCGATATATTTCAATGTAAAAAAAAATATCCTGTATTATGACCCCATACAATTCTTCAGGATCATTATTATTTTAACAAACAAGGATCAGTACTAACTGAGGATGCTTCGAAGTTAATTGTCTATGACAAAACATTCCTATGCATATTTTAAAGTATTTTTCCCCAATCCATTCCTACGTAAAAAAAAGTTTATCCCCATTATGACCCTACTCCCGGGAGTTATTTATAAAACCTAGAATCTAAGCTATTGGAGAATGTTTCCTTAATAATAAATCAATAATTGT